ATGATTAGGTTAATAAGTCATTTAGAGAACCTTTTCATGATATGCTAATTTTTTGAGATAGGGATTTTTGATTTTTCTTTAGTTTTTTGCCAAAATCATCAATATTAAAACAAAAGGCTTGAACTACTTCAGTTAGTGTGCAATGAATCTAAAATAAATGAAAGTTTAATATTTATCAGTACGTTACAGAAAATGAACTTTATCACAATATGCTATTTTTTTAGAAGGACCTGTATATTTTGAACTTGGCTCAGCCAAATTGAAATGGGAAGGGACATCAAAGGGGAACTTAGAGAACTCTCTGGTCAGAATATTTGAACTCTGACTTGATCTCTAAGTGACTCAAAATCTAAAGAGATCAGATTCTTCTCTACAGTCTGTGTCTTTAGCCATTTTATCAATGCTCTGTTCCCATGTGGACATTCCCCTTTGACATCACTTCCTGTTACTTTAAAAGCAAATATCTCAACTCACCAGTGGGAAATTATTTTTGCAAGATATTGTCTAAAAAATGCCTTAATTAAAAAAAAATTGTCAGGCACGTTAAGATTTAGAGCAGGCCAGATGGAGATCACTGGCCTACAGGCTGCCAGTTGAATAGACCTGTTGTATGAAAAACTTCATCACGCCCAGGAATTGTTGCCTTCTGCCTTTAATCTGTTTAACTAAGAATCTGACAAGGAAAGTTTAGGTAAAACCTAAATGTTCATGCAAACTTCAATGTCTTGACTAACTTTAGCTTTAAAATTGACAGCATTTGTGTTCAAAGGGGTTGTCTGTAGGTGCAAACTTTAGTTTGGTTTCAAGACCTCAGTTGTATATATATATATTCCTGAAGGTTTAACCAAAATGTATACAGTGAGCTTTCTACAGTGACTGGATTTCAGTGCATTCACTAGACGTCTTCCCAGGGCACTGTCCAAAAACCATTAGATGTCAGTCTATAGAAGCTGTACACTGAATCTTGTTTCAGTCTCCCATCCTGGCAGCACCTTGACAGTGGAAAGTGTCAGAACCAGACTCGGGATAGAAAACTGACTGGTCCAGGTGTAACTTCTCTGGGAAGAAGGGTTTCAAAACCTAATGACAAATGGAGCAAAGAGTAATGTGGTCAGTCTATAGCATTAACACAAAGGGATGGCTCTGAAACAAGACAACCACAATTATAGGATTCATTGAAAATACAAGTCTAATCTTAAAAGTAGATTGTTTGCCTCAGACAAACTGGAAGTTAACAAAAGACTTATTTTTAGCAACCACAAGTAAACATGCAGTCTGAGAGTTAAGTGCTCTGTAGGAAAATATGGAACAATAAGATCTAAGAGTTTGACGGAGCTTTGATCTTAAATTCTTTGACAAGGAGCTAAAACTGAAGAAACACTGTCTGGCCAAAAAAGAGGTCACACCTCTGGTGGTCCTCACAAAAGAGGACCACCTTTAGCTTTGATTATGTCACACATTCTCTGTGTCATTGTTTGGATAATCTTCATTGTCACCAGATTTATCTCCATCCAGTGTTGCATTAATGTTTCACCAACATCTTTCATTGATGATGGTAGAGTCTGACCTTCTCCAGCACATCCCAAAGATTCTCAGTGGACTCTGTGGAGCCAGTCCATGTGTGAAAATGATGTCTCATGCTCCCTGAACCACTCTGTCACAATTCCAGCCCCATGAATCCTGGCATTGTCATCTTGGAATATGTCCGTGCCATCAGGGAAGAAACAATCATTGATGGAATAACCTGGTCATTCAGTATATTCAGGTAGTTGACCTCATTCTTTGAGCACAGACTGTTGCTGAACCTAGACCTGACCACCTGCACCAACCACACATCATAGAGCTTAGTTACATCCAGGTGGACACTTTGTTTTTGCCCAGGTAGGGTCTGATCTAACTGAAAACTAACTCTAAAAGGTTAGCAAATGTTTAAACATCATTTGCAATCAGCTGATGAATGTGTTGGATCTTTCTCAGCTACCCTTCACACAAAATTTTTGATCTGTAAGATTAAGTTTTATTGGTCTAGGGGTTGACGCCTTCTTGATTCCAAAAGTTGATCACTTGTCCCGTAGATATTAATCCATTTGTTACTTTCTGTCAGCTGTTTGTCCAGCAGTTCAAAACATTTTTGGCATTGACAAAATGTGTTGACAATGTTTGTACTCAACAAAACTTCAATTACAACACTTTTTTTTTACAATTCTGCACATCCTGGAAAATCATGATGCATTTAGTATTGTCTAGATATAAGCACATCACTCTGGCAGGAAGAATAAACTTGATCACTTCTGGTTTTTGCTGTAACTAAGGATCAGGAACAAAGTAATTAAATGCAGACTTCTAGAAGTGTAGTCAACAGAATCATTTGTAAAGACAAACTAAATGTGCTGAAAATAAGTCAAATTTTGTTATCTCTCTTCATAATATGAGTTCAAGCAGCTTTTGTTGTGAAYAGTATGTATAATCCATGTCCACCCGAAGCAATGATGTTCAGAGAATTAGTGACTTCTGCGTGTATTTAAAGTCCACAACAAATTCTTTCTATTGTTCACACTGAAACCACAAAACACATGTTTGCTCTGGTTATGAAGCCACGTCTGGTTCGCTCACTTTCATTATTCTGTAAGAATTTTAAACACTTTTAATTTCAGTCCGTCTGTGGGTGTTAAACCATCCAGCTACGGTTACAGAAACAAAAACGGAGTGTCTTTGTGCACGATAWTGCCCTGAATGTGAAGCAGATGATGAATTGATGCTCCCACAGATGTCAGCAGCTGTATAAAAACATGCCCAACACAGAGCTTTGGTCATTCACTGAAGACAGGCGAGGGGAAAGATTTGCTGTTGTTTTTGACAGAATTAATTTGATATTAATTTGAAGTTTCTCTGCTGTGAGAAGATAATCAAGGTAAGTCTGAAGACAGAACATTTTATATTAAAGAATAAACTATTGTTCCTTGATAATAGATCTTTAATTGTAAGGATCTCTCTTGTCTTTCACAATGTTTACTTCAATAAATCAATTTTTTTAACATAAATCAACTACTATAATGCAAGATAAATACAATAATCTCAATAAAGAATGTATGCAGGAAAATATGGAAGTTGATTTCAGATTAAACATTTAATAATTTTAAAACAGTTAACTATTACTGAAGAATGAATGAATGAATGAATGAATGAATGAATGAATGAATGAATGAATGAATGAATGAATGAATAATGGTAATCTGTTTTTTCCCTTACAACCTGGAATTTAATTGTATTTTTAGTTTATTAAAAGTAATAAATGTACAAAAGAATTCTTGATCAATAAAGGTAAATCAGGGAATTTAGTTTTAAATTTCATCAGGTTTCTAAAACAATCACCTAACACATTTCCCCCCAAGTTTTTCAGGAAAAACAAAAAACTCAACCAAAACGTGACATCAACAAATATGACATCTTTTGTGTTTCCTGAAAATCATGGGAGGAAAAATGAGTTATAGGCAAATATTTGAAGGTGATGATTTTCAAAAATCAAAAAAAAAAAAAAAATTAGATCAGACCAAGTTAGATTAGATTAACTGGAACGTTTTGATCCCTTGGGTCGATTCCTTCAGATAAGTTAAAAACGATGTGCTTTCAAATCTCAATACTTCTCCTTCTTTGCAACAATTTCAGCAACAGCTTTCTTCAGGTCCGTCTCCTTCAATTTGGTACATGTAATCTGGACGTTTTGTCCATTTTTATAGCCAAAAACTGCTGCAGTTTCTCAGTTTTGAATGGATGCTGCTCATGTCCAACAATCTTTAAACTTTCCCAAAGATATTCAGTTGGATGGAGGTCAGAGTTTGACTGGACCATCTGAGGATGTTTCCTTAAACCACTGTTGTTGTTGCTGGAAGGTAGACATTTGTCCCAGACTTAAATCCCTGTATGACTCCAAATCCTCTCCATTTTGATCCCTCCATCTTTTATTACCTTTAAGTCCCAGCTAAAGAAATTTGTCCTCCCATCATAATGCAGATAGCACCATGCTTCACTGTGGGATGGTGTTTTCTGCACGATGAGAGGTGGTAGGTTTGCCTCAATGACGTAAAAAGTTGGAGACCACAACACCTTCTTACACGCTTGAGGAAGAGTCCAGCCTTTCCCCCTCCTTCAACAATGTCTTTTTCCGGCCACTCTCCTTTGAAAAGTAGCTGTGTGAACCTACAGATCCTCTCATCTCAGCAGAAGAGCTGCTCAGCTTCACCAGTGTTGTTTGGCCTCCTGGATGTTTCTCTGATTGATCCCTTGTACCTGGTTTGGGAGTTTAAGTAAAATGTATTTTTCTTGGCAGGAATTTTTAAGTTTGCATGATCTTCACATTTTCTTTTAATGGGTCTAATGGAGCTTTGTGGGATGCTCATGATTTGGGATATAATTTTGAACAACCCAGCCCTAATCTGTTCTCTGACCTGTAGACTTGTGCCGTCTCTTRCTGCAAGCTTTTTAACTTAAAGGTGTTGACTGAGAGAGCTGATGTAAATCATTTGGTCGATCTTATTTAAGAAGCTGTGCGACTTTTAATGGTAACAGTTAGGATTTCAATGCAAAGAAAAGGGCTTGAACATGCATGAATGCACCACCTTTCTGTTCTGTCCTTTTCTTCCAATAAATTTGATTCATTGAAGTGTTTTGTAGAGTTATTGCTTTTAATCAAATAAAAAAGGTTAAATGAAATTCCAGGTTGTAAGGCAACACAATAGAAAGTTATAAGTGGTGTGAAAATTTTTCAATCCAACATGTTTTTGTAAACAGGAAAGAAGACGATGGTGGTCATTGGAGCTGTACTTTGGGCCTTCTTTGTGGTGACTGTCGTAACATCCAAACCTGTAACTTCACTTTTCTACTTCCTTTGCTACTGTCAAAGAATAAATTAGTTTTTAAATGAACCTTGTTTTTTTTTATTAACAGATTGAGCTAAATGTGGCTGAGGATTCGTCCAAATCTTTAGAATCCAGTGAGTCCAGTTCATCAGAGGAGGCTGCAGCCAACTTAGGGTCCTCTCAGTCAGTGCTTACAGAGACAGAAAAACAGACTGACCCTGTAGACCCATCGCTTCTTCCCTCCTCAGACCTGAGACCTTCTCCTGCAACACTGGATGCATCGGCCCTGCCACACCCCGTCCCCGAGGACCCCCAAACCTCCACTGATACTTTCCAAGTCCTGCCAGAGGATCCGTGTCAAACTGCTCTAAGTGTAGACGCTCCTCAGGCCGGGTGCAACACTGAGGGTCTACAGGACCCTCTTGATGCCAGTACAGCCATGAGTCCACAAGGAACTAAGGCCACCAGCACGTTTCAGGGGGCTTCCCAGGATGTCACGCCACCCATCTCTCTGCATGTCATCACACCAGCGCCTCTGTTGTTCTCCACAGACAATCCATTGACGATCCCCATAACATCGACCCAACCCAGCGCTCCGGTTTGCTTTACCATCCAGCTCACGACCTCTGAACCGCCTCCTCCTAGAGGAGACAGCATCTGACCCTGACCCATCAGCAGTGATAACCCTGTCAACTCGGCTGCTAAACAAATACACTTTCTGAATTCTTGTAGCAGTAAAAAAACGGAACTGCTTTAATACATTTAACCCTTTTAATATTATTTCTAATGTACCAAGCACCTAAAAAAATAAAGACTGATAGCATGCTTTTCTTTTAAATGATGGTTCAGAACAGAACAAAACAATTCAGAGTACAAAAAAAATACATATATATAAGCTTTGTCACAAAGGTAAACAATCCACTGCCTGATGGAACTAAATGCCTGTATAAATATAATCCACATGAATTTAAATTTTAATGTATTAGAAACTTTAAGAAAAATTTCTAAAGGGAGCCAAGGCAGCTACTGACCAAAACTCCAACACATATTAAAAAAAGAAAAACAAAAATGCCTACATTTTAATGCAAGAACTGCAGCCAATGTTGGACAGCACTAATCTAAAAATTAGTTCCAATAGCCCTAAAGCACTAACTCAAATATTTAGGTCCCCTAATTCTAAAGCACTAAAATAACCCAGTCAACCCATGAACATTCTGTTGTTCTCTTAAGACTTATCATTGACATTCCACAGCTGTATTTGGTTCATATATTGTCAATATGTCACCTGGTGGWTCAGTGACACTCATATGAACAAAATGTGTGACAGTTTTCACCCTCAGCTGTTAACATTAATGTTGATCAATAACATTTATAGACCTCAGTCAGTGCTTCTAAATTTAGCCCATAAATTTATCAAGTGCTAATCCACCAATAAATTTTAAAATTAGCAAAAGCCCTAAAGCACTAAAGAGGAAATTAGTTCCCCTATTAGTGCTTTAGTGGAACTGTGCCCACCACTGACTGCAGCCAATAGCTCACTCCAGTAACCACTCACTATCACTCAACAGCCAAGTTAACTAGAGGCAGAAAGAGTGAAAAATAGGCCTCAATCACTGTACAAAAACTACAAGATGAATCGTAAAACTTCTTGAACTGCGAGCGACAGAAAACAGTCATACCCGAGTCTACAATGTCTTTATTTATAAAGTATGAAATTTTATGAATTTTGAAACTTTTTATGATAAAAGACTGTTCACTTCCTGTTTTGATGGGAATATTTTGAGCTCAAATATAAATGTAGTCTGTGGAAACTTGGCTGAACTCCGTGTGTTCTGGAGGGATTTGAGAGAAAACCAGAAGGTCTAAAGCAGTGAAAGAGGACAGAAACTCTGGTTTTGTTATAGAATTTAGAAACTAAAACGTGTTGTAGGAGTAACTGGYTTGTTTTTATCCTTTCAGCTCAAAAATGTCCAAAACTGTTTGCTGCATGGACYGATGAAAAGATATGCACGTCAAGATTTAAATATAGCGTACTGCACTCCCTCAACTCATCAAATAAGCGTTGCGTGATCTGAACAGATGTCACAGAACCTGCAGGGTTTGACTTTTACACAAGTGTTTACACAGAAAACCATTAAACTGGCATCTGTTGCTGAAAGGAGCCGTCACTGGCTGTGGYTGAAACAAAGAGTCAGTGGGCTGAGGGTCTGATCAGCCTGCAGGGGGCCAGCCTCATTGTGTCCAGGGTGCACAACTGATGATGTGTTGCACTGGAGGAACCAGGTGATCATCCTTCAACCAAGAGGAYATGTCCAACACCTGTGTTGTGCTGATTAATGAAGCGTTTTTTATCATCCAGTCCTAGCATGCTGTGAGAGGTACTTCTCAGTCTAAAGGCATGCAGGTATGGACTGGCTGATCTGAGTAAACAGGAAGCCCATATTTCACTGCTCTCTTGTCCATATGTAGTCTTTACTGCATTCCCATACATTCCTATAAAGCCAAAACACATGCACAAATATATTTCTTCTATAAATTACAATGAGACTAGCTCAGTCTATGATTAAATTTATATCAATACAATTAAGTGCACCAATCAAATGTTAGACATCTTTGTCATTCATTTTGTCTTCTACTGTTGAAAGGGAGACTCGTGCTCATCCTGCTGCTCTGGCTCGTTTTCCGTGTGCTGCTCCGGCTGCTGCTGGATGAGTCCTCCATCCTGTGCCGTGTTGTAGGAGCCACAGTCAGCGCACTTCATCCCCAACACATGAAAAGGCACGGTGCAGTGGGTTTGGCAGTCATTACAAATAACCTACAGGARCCACATAAAAAAAGCACCACATGTAAACATCGTCAAAAACAATGACAGAGTTCCTTTGAGCTGAACTGTATAAATTTAAAGTGGATATATGATGCTTTTAAATCCTTATTTTTCACATTTCAATCATTCAGTTGGGGTCTATATAAAGTGGAACTGCAATCTGAATCCTTTTGGTAACTTTACCAGACCCTCTTTCACCCCTTTCCTGAGCCACGTGTCAACGCCGCTCGTTTTGAAGCTGTGTCTTTAAATCCAAACAAGGCGCKTCACAGCAGGCCCCCTCCTGCTTCCAGACTGGTTCACACTAGTTTGATGGAGGGAGGAATGTCTATCTAGCAGCACAGACAACTTTTTATTTACACATTATTTAAAAGATGTCAACAACAGACTTGTCCATCCAGCCTTACATGTTGGAGCCAGAGTCTGACCCAGAACCAGAATCTGACCCAGAACCAGAGGAAAATTAAGATGAGGAAATTGTAGTTGGTAAGTCCAGACCTTATTTAGCAGTTCCATCGCAGATACTTATGTAATGGTCCAGAAAACGTCACAGAAAATAGAAAAAACTGAACGAGTTGAAAAATATGACCCAAACAGAATATCAAGATATCTTTGTAGCATTAGGAGAGATTAAAATAAACTTTTTTTTTTGCACTTCTAGAGACTAACAAAATAGATTTAACGGCTAAAACAGTGGATTTTACATATGTCTCCTTAAAAAAAGCCATCTCATGTTTTGCTTGGATTACTGAGGACTTACTTTGACAGTAGTTCCCTTGTATTCAGTGGGCATCGGTGTCTGAGCGATCTCCTTGTCCATCTCGTCCCACTGGTCCTTCATGTTGAAAGCAGAGTGCATACAGAGAGGGCAGCGATACACTCTGAAACAAACACAGGCAGAAAGTGAAAAACAAAACACGGCAGGCCTCATTTAATATAATAACACCGTAGCAACATGTCTACTGTAAATAAAAGTAAACATGATAAGTCAATGATTATATTTAGCTTCTGTGTCCAATCTTAACTGAACTCTAATGGAAAAAAACAACTTTACTTCTAAGTAAGAGATTAGACAGAAGCAAATATAATATAATAT